TTTGTTCCAGCCGTGGACTTAATCCCAAACGCTTCTGGTCCCTGTTCAAGTTCAATAATAAGACACGGAACATTCCTCAAAAGCTCTCGTTGAAAGTAACTGAGACCAAAAGAACATCCGCAGGAAATCCAGCAGATATTGCTGCGCTCTTCAACAACTACTTCACATCTATATTTACCACCGATCCAAATATCGAAAACTACAGCTCCGACGCTCTTCCATATCAGTATAACAATACTATCATCGAGGACATTACCCTTTCGGAAGCCGATGTTTTCTCCGTATTGCATAATCTCGACATAAATAAAGCTCAAGGTCCAGATGGGATTCCTGCACGACTATTAAAAGAAACAGCTCGCCAAATTGCTCCATCACTAACTGTATTGTATAATAAATCTCTGAACACTGATGTGTTACCACGCGACTGGAAACTAGCAAATGTTGTTCCCGTCCACAAAAAAGACAACAAAGAGCACGTAGAAAACTATCGACCAATTTCGCTTCTTTCGCTTATCTCGAAAGCATTGGAAAGATGCGTGTTCAATAAGATCAAAGACCACGTTTTCGAACAGATTAACAACGGTCAACATGGCTTTGTTCCTCGGAAGTACTGTGTTACAAAGCTCATTGAAGTCTTTGAGTATATTGGTCGTGAGTTGGATCTTGGGAAACAAGTTGATGTGATCTACTTGGATATGTCCAAGGCGTTTGATCGAGTAAGTCACATTCAACTGTTGAAACGACTTCGTGATTTTGGATTTGGTGGAAATATTCTTAACTGGTTTAGATCTTACCTCAAGGACCGTCGCCAGCAGACTACAGTACTTGGTGCAACATCATCAGCACTACCAGTAACCTCCGGAGTTCCCCAAGGCTCAATCCTTGGACCGCTACTGTTCCTACTATATCAGAATAATCTCCTCAACTCCATCAACCACTCGAAGATTACGACGTTTGCTGACGACACAAAGATTTACAAGGTGATAAACGTGAATGCTGATGCATCCGCTATGGAGAATGATCTTGCGAATTTCCAAACCTCCTCTGCCAATGCTAATCTTCTCCTCAACACAGATAAATGTAAGACACTTCGAATTACTAGAAAACGCAACAAAATCGACCATATTTACAAGTTGCAAGATTCCGCTCTGAAAACCACAGATTGCGAACGTGACTTTGGCGTCTGGACCTCTTCCACTCTCACATGGTCTAAACAAGTCCTCCACCAGTGCGCCCAAGCCAACAAATCCCTCGGGTATATTCGACGGTCCACGATCAAAATCAAGACCATCTCCGTTCGTCGGACTCTATATCTTACCCTAGTTCGTTCCCACCTCGCATACGCGTCCCAAGTTTGGGCTCCACAAACTGTTGACCTTATTAAGCGTACAGAACGCGTTCAACGACGTGCGTCGAAGTACATATTGAACCTACCGTTCTTCTGTGACATCAACTATAACCATCGTCTCTCAACATTAAATCTACTACCCCTGTGTTACTGGCACGAGTACCTAGAGATATTGTTCCTTTTCAAATCACACCATGACATTATTAACCTAAGCAGCGACATAGTACCACAACCTCAAAATTCAAGTCAACGTACCCGATCTACAAACCCTAACTGCCTACAATTTCAGACTTGAGCATGCAAAACCTCTACCTATCAAAAATCATATCTAATAAGGACTACTATAGAGTCTGGAACACGTACACTGCCAATGGATTTAAGTATTAATTGCATGGCAACTTTAAAGGACTTTAAAAATAAGTTATTTTAATCTATTATAAAACAGCACTAGACAAATATTATGACGTTGACGATCCACGAAAATGGAAATCGGTTTGCTTAAAATGCAACCAAGCTCGCGACCTGACAAGGCCAATAACGTGTTGTTTTTAGATTTAGTTTTCAGAAGTACCTTTTCACATTGGTATCTAGGGGGCCTATTCAGGGTTTTGCTGAAGGTTTAGGATTGTGAGGGTTTCAAACGTCTTCTGACTCAGTCAGCTTCCAAAAATGGAAGTGGGCCGCAATGTGAAAAGTTGCCTCTGATAGTTCGTTAGTAATTGATTCTTTCTATGTACGTATATAGTGTATTTGTCTAACATTTAGGGATCGCAGTAATTGGCGCAAGCTGTTGCGATTGTCCTGCCAGTTTTTTTGTGTTAACGTTGTTTAAATCTGGCAAAGTTAATAAATAAATAAATAAATAAACAATGAAACTCACTGTTCCAAATAGTTGCGTACTAACTTTTGCCAGGACACACCAGCATAATATTCTCCCGATTGAAACCATAGTAATGATAATACACTGATGCTAAACTTACCCATCCAAGCTTTTTCTCCAGCTGTCGTCTAACATACACTCAGATTGCACATCTATCTTAGTAACATTGCAACATTTCTTTCCCACTATGCTCACTAACGTATCCTCATAAGCGGAAGCAGCTGCAGTTCGTTTCAAACCACTCATGAATGGTGAAAATGATGGGCAGTTTGACCATTCGTTTGTATAGTTACTATTGGCCCACCAGTTATACGTTCTGCAGGATACATTGGCTAAAAGTGAAGCGAAAAATTTAAGTTGTCTGAATCAATTGCGCTGATAATTAGCACCAGAGTTATAATGGCTCCATGCATTGGAGTGCAAAATACTTTTCTTACAGTGACCTTGTCTTGCAATTTTTTTAATATATGTCTATATTATATAATAATATCATAAAAAAGTTCATCTTTCTCCCCATATGAAATGTCTTTATGTCATATAGATGAAGTGAAAAATTGTATCACTTTGCATTTAATTGGTGCGATTTTTGATGTTCATCATTTATTATACGAAAATGGTGTTATTTTACCAAATACGATAACTAGAACACGAAAAATCTTAGAGTGTGTTACAAGGTGATATACCGTCCTGCTTAGGACGAAGAAATAATCAGTTTATCGAATCAAAAAACACCATTGAAAAACACTATCTAGGCTGCATAACGACAGCGAAATGGCAAACATTTCTTGATTTGACGATTTCTTGCAAATATATTTCATTTTTGCAAGGTTTTTTAAATTTCCAAAGCTTTTTAAGAAAATAAACTTTTCCAACTAGTTTTCCAAAAACCTCTCTTTTGCTCTCTCAGTAAACTTTCAATGACTCGAATGATACAGCCCCTTGTGGTTTTGTTGGCAATTTGCATCACTGCGCTCGCATTAGGAAGAAAAAATACCATACACAGTATGTTTTGTTATATGTGTTGAAAATTACCACAAACTGTTACAAAAACACAGTTTTTATTCGAGTCCCCCCTGGGCGATCGTATGTCTTTTTTTGTCTTCTTAACATGCACCGAACCGCGATGATATGAACCTGTGGGGAGACCGGGTGAGAAAGAGATAAATAAATTAAGCTCCCTATTATTACTGTCGTGCCGTTTCAGCACATTGCAGTAAATGGGAGGTTCTCCTTGATAATTGAATCCCTATCAATCCGAAGCTTTTTCGGTATATTAGAAGCTTATATAATTGTAGGAAACCGCTAACTGCAAACAGCAAAATACAAATCGTATTTTAAAGTCAAATGGTAGATGTTCGAAGTCAAGACAAATTGAAGCACGACTGAATTAGCTACTTCCCTGTCGATAACTATTTCTCTGTCGAAATTATCGTGTTACCATGACAACTACTTTAAATACTTCATGTGCGGAAAATACAATGGTTTTGTCATCAAGGCGAGGGTTTCTACATGCATGTATTTTCTATTAAATTTAGACACTCTCCGCTATGAGGAATTCCTGATATTTGGAAATTTCCTTCGGGGTAAAGCCCTCGCCCATCGGAAAATGTCATCAATTGCAAGGGGTAACATTTCGCCGCGTCACAATAGCTACAAGTCTGAATTCGTTTGGTTGCGCATGATTAAATTGAGCAATTTGAAAGAATATGTTACAGGCATGGAGTGAATGATGATAATCCAGCCTAGACCTAGGCTTTTACTCGGCTGGCTTTGGCAGATTTGGTCAAATTTGGGCCAGCATTTGGAATTAAAGTATTGCCATGGTATGTTTGCCTCGTAAACGCCTAGTCGATTTTACAAGTTCTCAAATTAGCACTATAATTAACTTCGTGATCTGAAACCAACAACTAATGCAATTTATACCGTCCAGTAGTTATTACATTAAATATAAAAACATTTTATGAATAAACTAGTACTGACCTATTATAATTAGTTTATAAATGTCGCGTTGAATTGTATTTTAATATGTTTATTAATTAAAAACATCTTTCCAACAAAAAGTTCCAACAATTTTATACAGTCACTGATTTGTACTCGAAATAATTATTTTATTCGGAAGACAAATTACTGTTTTGCTTTGAATAACTATATTTTCGAATCTGGAATGAGGATTTTGACATTATTGTTCAAAGATTATGAATATGTCATTTGTAAACAATTGATGTATCCGTTAATAATTGTGCATTTGTTTTCACAAACAAAAGGCCGCTTCTTACCAAAATTAAGAGAATATATATTAATGTAGTTGTGTACGAGTCAAAATTTCATGAAAGATTCTACCTCTGGTATATATTTTGACTCATTTTGTAATTTCGCTACACCTGGTAAATACGCACAAACAACACTGAATAGTGTTGCTTCAAACTTTATGATAAAACCCCGATTTTCTGGCGTGTATACAAATAAAAATAGTAAGTTTATACCATAAATAAATGTATTTTACTTGTGTCGGTTTACATTGTTAAATTGCAAAAAATTCAGTTTGAGAGCGCAAGAATTGAGCAGTTTTTGGCATCGGATTGGGAAATCTGCAAGGCCTTCTATTTTTATCGATTTCGCCCTTCCTCCGTCTCGCCCCCAAATCTCCCAGGTTCCAGTCTTTTCATGTGAAAAACGCTGAATATTTAAAAAATAATAAAAATAAAAGGCCTAGGTCTAGGCTGATGATAATCCTTATTTGACAATGGAATTGACTTTCTTAATTTTTAGGTGTTGTGTAAATAGTTCAAGTATTAAACGTCCAACCTTCCATGCATTTATCTCCATCAAAACCAAATCGACAAGAACAATTCTTGGATTCTTCAAAACATTTCTCACCTTTCTTGCAAACAACACAACTACAGTTGAATGTCTAAAAATAAATAATTGGCATAAGACGGTGTCATCTATCTACTCAAGTGCTATGATTGAATATCTTTGTTTTATGACGAATATCAATAGCCTGAAAAATGCTCCAAAAGACCTACCACGATATGAATTTTAAAGCGACATTTGTTAATAGAACTATAGTATGTTTTCATTCATTCAGATTATCTTCAGAATAGTATAAATATACCGATAGAATATTGCAAAGATGCGAAGACTATATTGCAAAGATGCGAAGACTATTTTGCATAATAGGATTGCATGTGATTTAGGTCGAGGATGCAGAAATATATATTTGTATAACATTTATAATTTTATAGACCTGGAGAGAGGCGGTTTTCGGCGAAATATTTCGTCACTGAAATGTCATCACTCAGGGTAATATTTCGCCAAATTCCCCAAGTGAATGGTCTATAAATGATGTACAGTATTTCATACCGATAATGAAAAGCCTTCAAATTGAGAATATAAAACTTGCCACACTTTGTGTGATCGCCGCGCGTGGTTTATACCAATCGCAACACTCAGGTGATATGATCAAATCACCAGGCGATATGATTGAAATCACTTGCTGTACTGTACGTCAAATACGATGACGTGATTCGATGATAAATTTCATGCACAAGTTGCACAAACTTAGTTCCCTGATTGGACGCTTTGAATTTGAGGTATGATATAACGAGACTAATTACATTTCCTTGTTCTTGACCCCATGCAATCATGAAATTGTTTGTTCCAAACCCTATAAACAGCCTTGTGGTCGTTATATAACGATATACACTTTGGAAACAACATGGTTGCCGTTACAACACAAAAATGGAAAATTTGGAAAAGATTACTTAAATTTTCATCATAAATTAACTACACAATCTTTGATGGTCAAAATCTGTTATTAATTTAGTTTGGTGTTTTAAATACTAAAAGTCTAAATTATAAAACCCTGGCAAGTTTTAATTAATTCTATTCCATTATTGAAAAATAACAGAAAAAATAGAAACAAGTATAGAAGCATAAAATGCTGGCTAATTTGCTGCTATCCTTACAGAGTCTCTGCTGAAATTACGAGCATGGTTAAGATCTATGAATCTTCATGCAAAGCAAAAAAACAATAAATAATTTGTGGTTCCATGCAGGGGTGTCCTCAAAAGTATTGTAATTCTGAATACAACGTTAAGCCAAGCATTATTATCATGTGTTTGCAACAACGTGATAGCTTATCCCGACCTTCGATGTGTCACATAAAGTTAGCGTTACAGCAAAAATCACAAGCATTTATTACACTTATCACAAAGTACTTGACGCCCATTATTGCGCTTGAGAAGACGTTGTCGACGCAATTTTTTTGCCGTAGACACTTGGACTCCTCATCGATAATCGGACCATGGATAATAAAATAAATGGATAGGAAACTAGCTTACGTGACCTCATTTTTTCAATGGGATGATGACGTGGTTGGATGTTGAAACCTAGTTGCAAACCAAATTCTCAAAAACGGCATGTTTAGCAATAATACAGCTAAACATTTTAGTCAAAGAGCAAATAAATATAACTACGCCATTCTACGATGAAATATCTAATTAAGTATTTCCAGTCAATTTTAGTAAATATTTCGAGCACTAAACAGTGAAAAATGCATCCCAAATTTCGTTAATATTGGTGACGCCAATTTCGTAGCTACAAATGTAAAAAATGCAAAACATAGAAGAAGAACATTTACCTTGAATATTTTGTCGTGGCTTAGGCATGTTTTTAAAATAATGAGACTAGTTTATGCTTCAATATTACCCTTTTAAAGCGGGAATATAGCGAAACAACAAAAATGCCGAGAACTTGGGCAATACGCGTGACGTCACAGATTGCAACTAGGTTTAGACTGTAACGTCAGCTAGTTTCCTATCCATTTATTTTATTATGCATGATCGGACGCATCATTGATCCGCGTCAAGGTCTCCGCGCGTTATCGATCGATCCCTTCGTACCCTGCGTAACCCACTGGTACACCATATATCCATCATTCCACGTTGATCTTCTTCGATCACGTGTAGAAAGATGGCCGATTTGCTTCGCGATTCCCAGTGACGATAATTAATCATATTCTGTCAAACACAAACCTCCGATTGTGAGGAACATTACACCATTACACAAGTAAACAACAGTTAAACCACACCTAAACCATTCGCATTCGGCGCAACCAAGCAAGTGTTTGCTCTCTTAGTCTTTTACCCACGAACTGTACGTATACGCACGTGATAAACTTTCAGCGATCATGAAAATTGCAATGGCACTCAAATCCCATGACCAAAATCGGACGTCGACATGAGAAAACATAGCATCTCAATCCAGCAATACAATAGTTTGAAATCACCAAAGGGAATTAAGCGTACCTAATATCCCCTGAATGTTTTGTTT